AAAATATGCTTTCAAATACCTTCTTTTAATCATCAGTTTTTTCATCTCCTTATTTTTTGTTTTTCTTTACTCAATTCCTTTGCTTTTGATGGAGAAGTTTAACATGTCACATATATCCCATGGAGCACCCACCCACCGAACAACTTCTACACAATCAAAGCGGGAGACATTTGAAGTCAAATTGCATTTCATTATCATAGTATTTTCTCATAAATCTTTTTGCAATCATTAAGCTTACTAAGAGAAAGGCACCTCTTAGAAAAAGATTTTTCTAAGGAATTTTCTTTGTAAAATGTCCTCTTTTCTTTATATTTTACCGTTGGCCCTTGCATGCCTTTTAGAGTAAGAAGAATTATGAGTTTCCCAAAAACAAGTTGCACAAGGTTTTCAAGAATGATTGACCCAAAATTTCAATCAAATTGTGCTATTTAAAAAGAAGATGCTTTCGTTTTTTTTTTAACTTCAATATCAAGATAATACACCATTTGTCTAATGTTTGTCATCTCAAACTCTTGTCATTAATTTCTAGGACTTCTTAATCATGTTTGGATTATACTTGCAATGAAGAACAAATCATCCACACACAAGTACGCTATCAAAATATATTTATCCTTGAATTTGATGTAGAGGACATGCTCATGAGGGCATTTGATGAAATTGTTCTCGAGGAAATACTTGTCAATTGTATTGTTCCATATCATAGGTGCTTGTTTGAACCCAAATAGAGCCTTCTTCATTTTCAAAAGTCTCTTCTTTCCTTTTTCACTTTGTAGCCTAGTGGTTGTTGAATGTAGAATTCTTCTTTTAGGACTCCATTCAAAATGGAAAACCTTACATGCATTTCATATATGCCAATCTTTAGCTGTGCAAAAAATGATTAGCCTAATAGTTTCAAGCCGGGTAACAGGAGCAAATATCTCTTCATTTGATGTCAGCTATTATGTTGTATCTTATTGTCATCAATCTTTATTTATCATTCTCAACTTTTCCTTTGACGATATTCTGAACTTTGTACACCCATTTTAGGTTAATTTTCTTGTGCGCTTCTTATATTGCAACTAGTTACCAAGTATTGTTTTTCTCAATCATCATGATTTCTTCATCATGTCATCCTTCATCTTCTTTGCACCTCTTGAAAATTCACTGATCCACAATCATAATAAAGGTAAAAAAGAATAAGATTGTTTTGATTATCGATTACCTCATAAATTTTTATAGTATTTAGAAGTGTGATACGCTTTCACTTGAATTTGTACTCGAAGATGGTCTTTTTGAGTACATGAAGTAGGTGTAGTTAGTCTAGTAAGCTCCTCTATTGCTCCATCCTTGGTTTCTACAATTATCATGCTCAAGCATGGAATGATGCTGCACTAAGCATCATGTGGATCCCAAACTCGTTTTCTTTCGTCGAATATGACACCACGACTACTGGTTGTCTTTCCTGTGTTTACATTTTCTAGCTTTTTCCCTTTTTTTGTAGTTAATTAGAAAACTGCTTAAGACTAGTAAAATAGTCGGAGATGCTTTCAACTTTTATATGTATGACTTGAAATTCGCTTCCTTATGTTTAGAGACGTTCCTTCAACCTTCTCGACTTGCCTTGCTCTTTTATAAGAGACCTAATTGGTCGACTTCACATCATAATTCTTTTCAAAATTGTCATCATCTAATTCTTGATAGATTAGATTGTCTTTTTCTCTCTTCCTCGAATCTCTTAGACTATTCTTTTGAGTTTGGGATAACTAGACTCATCCCTTGACCTTATGTAGTCTTTTTCTACCATTATTCATGCATTTTGCGCTCCAAAGAGGGCCTTTAACTTGATGCTTCAATTGTCATAGTTGCTCTTATTGGGTGTTGGAATCTTAAAGGTAATCATGCCATTGCTTGCTATCTCTCTAGAGAGGATCTTATTATGGCTCTGGAATAACTTTATCAGAAATAAAGGGCTTATGATAGGAGGATTGCTATGAAAGAAGGGAAACACACATTGAAAGAGCCACTTTTAATTCACTCTTATTTTTTCTTGCTGCAAAACACAAATACATCACACATTTATTATAGTGACTGCTCCATTAGGATTGTGTCAGCGGATTGCAATCATGTGACTACTATTAACTTTCTAGAATACTTTTCTACACAAGTCATTAATTATTTATTTTAGATTTTTCTAAATACTTTTTTAAAATTGTCTCTAGAACCTTCTAAAATTTTCTAAAGGTTGTTGAAGACTATGTGCTTAATTAAAGTAAAATTTTGTATTTTGATTTTCATGGGGGCTCCAACTCCTTTGAGGATAAAAGATAGATGTGGAGGTCTAAATCCCCTGTCAATGATCAATTTATATGATAAGGTTTGTATTTAATTGACATTTTATAATGATGACCGGTTTCTATATTAGAGGGAGATATTTTAGCAAATATTGTTAGAAGGCGAGTCAAGTGCATGTGTGACTAAATCATGGTGTCCAGCATATTTAAGTGGGATTCATAGCAAAGACGTGTTTTGGTGAGTGATTTTCATCAAAGCATGAAACAAGTTTGCATCCTTTGTTTTTTTTTTCTTTTAATTATTTGATGATGAATTTTAAGGATGTGAGTGTGGAAGGTAAGGTGGTGGTTAAATAAATTTCATATGGTCTAGAGAAATAAATATTCAACCTTTGAATTAAAATGATTATGTATGTGCAAGAATATCATAAATATTCAACCTTTAAATATTGGCGGATGAATAGAATGGATTTTAAGAAAATTGAGTAAGAGATGTTTGTTATAAATCCAAGCCATTGAGAAAAGAGTAGATTAGCAAAGTTATTAAATTTATGAGTGATATAATTTTAATTTTAGTAGTCTATTTTTGCTTTGGTGTGTACTTTTGGGGCTGCCTAGTTTCTTTTTTGTTGTGTTGGTTATAAATCCAATTCATTGAGAATGGAGTGGATTGACAAAGTAATTAATAAATTTTTTAGCCATATATCCTTATTTTTGGTCATCAATTTTTGCTTTGGCAAGTATTTTTTGTGGTACCCAACTTCTCATGTGTTGTGTTGTCATATTTTTAAATGTGTTTGGAATGTTTCTTAGCTGCAAGTTTTATTAATTCCACTACTGTCTAGAAAGGTGAACTTTTAAATTAGTATCACATTATATATTTGTTTTTGTGATGTACAGTTGATTTGGAAGCATTCAATATCATTAAATTCATTTATAATTTGTTTTATTAGTTTATCTGGTTCTCTTACTCAGTTATATAAAATGTAGATATAGTTTTTTATTAATAATAAAATATTTAATACTCAGAATAATGTGATTGGATCTAATATCTTAAATTTTAGTGGAACGGCATATTGTTGGAATGCATTTTTGAAGGAAGTACAAATAGATTGATACTTAATAAATTTAAAACAATCTAAAGTGTGGGCTTACTTGGGTGGATATCTTTTCTCATCATTGTTTCTTTGGCTTTCAAGTAAAACCATATGTTGAAGAAAAAACTCTTAGTTTCACATTAATATATGATATTTCTGAGGTAATATTTATAAATATTGTGAGATAATCTATTTTAAAAATTAGTGCTTTGATAGTCATATTGTTCTATTTCTGCATTAAACTCCAGTTTGAGGTTCAATTCCATGAAACCAACAACCATGTAGTTGTTTAAATGTAATGTTGCTAGCTCATCTCTCTTTCTTGATGTTATTAATACTGAAGAAAGACTCCAGTTTATTCATGATCTGCTATAATTGCATCTCAACCTGATATATCGGCTTTGTATTTTTACTATTTTTATTATTTTTTTCAAAATCGGATGATGATATTTTTTTCGAGTTATCTTCGTTTACTCAATGGAGATAGGCAGCCTAGTGTGGGGATTTGGAATGTCATTTGAAGGCTTAGCATGTTACTATGTCCTCTTTCCATTCTATTTTATGATTATGTATGTAATTGGGAGAAATAGAATATTGTTAGGAAAAAAAAATTTATTTGCTTCTCGACTTTTTATGTAATTGTCATTTCAGTAATTAATAATTATTCTGTTTAAAACAAATGGTTATGTTGCTCTTGTTTTGTTTAAAATGTTCTTGTTTCCTTGTCCTTAAAATGCATATCTACCTCATACAAAAATATAAGCATTGGAAAATACAATTTTATTGTGCTATTGTTCACCATTATTTGAAGGTTTCAATTTCTTAAAGTGAAATTTAAATACATATCCCATAATTCTTACATATTTACTTATCTAACATTTAAAATATAATATTTCCATAATTTGCATTCAAATCTCTTCATGATTAGTTTTATGCCACCAAGGTGTTATAAATGTAAATAACAAACTTATGGTGCTGGATATGTAAATGCATAAGAATTGTTTGGTATGGATGTAAGTTTCCCTATAATCATTGCAATGAATATAATTGATGTTATGATGATGCATATAATTTTGAGACATGCGTTTCTTTGTGATGTTGGAACTGTTTGGTTTATATATCATGGCTTTTTTTAAAAAGTTTAATTTTTGTACTGTATTTTTCTTGAAAGAAAAAAGGCTCTTTTCTTTATCGTCATGGATGTTTTTAGTGTCTTCTTTCAAATAATGAGCTTCTTCTAGTTCAAGTGTGATCATTTCTATTAATACTTATTTATTGCCATACATTTTTTGCGAGTAATTCAATACCAATTGTTTATGATTCTTTTTTTTTGAACTATGATAGAAAAATATTTTAGTCAATACATTTTATTACATTTTAAAAAACAATATTTGGTATGTATTGATAGTCATGCTTTTGTTAAGCATTATTTGTAGTTGTAAAAGTACGAAATCAAGTATGCATGTTTGTTGCTTGTAGGATTCTAATTATTCTAGTATTAACACATTAGGTATACCATTTTTTCTCTTATCAAAATATATAATCTCATGTTTATTTTTTAGAAAGTATTCTCTTAAATGTTCTCATATTCCGTTGAATGGCTTATGTCTACATAATGCATTCCAAAACCCAGTGGGTGGTGAGCTTGAGAAAAACGGTTCGTCAGAGGATGACATTGAGTTGTGCGATAACTTCGTCAACCCTGAAGCTGGAGATCGCGAGCTCAAAGGTCAGCTCCTTCGCAAATACAGTGGTTACCTTGGAAGTCTGAAGCAAGAATTTCTTAAGAAGAGAAAGAAGGGAAAGCTCCCGAAAGAAGCCAGGCAACAACTGCTTGATTGGTGGGCTCGGCACTACAAATGGCCGTATCCTTCAGTATGCATCTCTTCTAAGACCATTACTTGTTGGATAATTTTGTTGAAGTATTCTTTTTGGGAAAATTTGGTAATTTTTTCATCCAAATAAAGTCCTCAAATGAAGTGAATTTTTCAACTTAATTATAATTTTTTAAATAATCTGATTAAGGATTACATTTGTTTTTACGGAGTGAAAGTTACTTTTATTTCACCATCTTGTTTCAAAAGATTGAATGTTGATGGCATTTGTTACATTTGTTAAAATAATTGATGCTATTTACATGCATGCCACCCAATTCATTAACATATTTAACAACCCAAATCTTCCATATCTCATCAAAAACAACATTTTACCTAATTAATATTTGAAACACTTTCATTCATAGGTAAAAGGTGGCTCATAATAAAAATCAAAGTTTGGGTGTTAGATTTGTAAATGCATAGGAATTGAGTGAAGTCTTCCTTTTTAAAATTATTGTTCAATCTATCATGTACACCAACAATTCTCACATTTATTAATTATTTTTGTGGTAATTAAAAAAAACGAATAAGTAAATTAAAAAGTAATGTTTAATAATATTTTATTTTAGATTATACTTAAAAATTTATTGTAGCATGAGTTTACTATCCGCTCCAAAAGTTTCTTTTGCTTGAGCTTGTAATAACTGCAGGAATCTCAGAAGGTGGCGCTTGCGGAGTCCACTGGCCTTGATCAAAAGCAGATAAACAACTGGTTCATCAACCAGCGAAAGAGGCATTGGAAGCCATCGGAGGAGATGCAGTTTGTTGTAATGGATGCTTCTCATCCACATTATTTCATGGACGGTGGTTTTGCAGGTGGTAATCCATTTGCGATTGACTGTACCCCTCTACTTTGATATATGCTTTGCAGGGTATATGAATATTGTAGAATTTGAACTCCAGTGGTTTGCTTAATTACCTTAAAGGGGCTTTCTCGGCTGTGTACTTTGGTAAAAACTTCATTATTTTGAATGCCGTTGTAACGACATGGTTATGGTTTCTGTTGTAAGACTTTGCTCCAGTGATTTTACATGGTAGTTTTGTGTTGCTAATTATGATTATGGTAAATAAATATTCGCTGTCACATAAAGCTCATTGTAGTGACAAAGGGAGTTGTCCATTGTTGTTGTATATGTATAAAATTTTCTTATGCTTTTAGGTTTCTCATTTAATTAAAGGTGGAGTTTGACTACAATCATACTATTAGCTTCTTTAATAGGAATTTTCTTATAGGAATCATTTGTAGGTTAAACGCCAAAACACCCATTACATTTTCTGGTTTTCTATATATAAGCAAATATAAATTATAACCGAACAATAACTGCACATCACATTTTTTTGAAAATAAAAACTAACCACTTAAAGATTTTCATAACCGCCTTATCCACATGAAAATGTGCAAAAAAATAAATAATTTTTAGAGACAATTAGATTAACTCAACAATCTCCTCCTTAAGCTTGTTGTCCTTCACTGTAATTTGCACACCAATTTTTTTCCACATCTCCAAGAACTTCAATCTTACAAGTGACTTTGTCAGAATATCAGTATGCTGATCTTCTGTGCAAATATGTTGAATTTCAATCATTCTAGATTCAACACAATCTCTAATGTAGTGGAATCGGGTATCGATAGTTTGCTCCTCTCATGATAAATTGAATTCTTGCTTAATGCAATTGCAGACTGATTATCAATCTTCAGAACTATTATCATGATTATCAATCTTCAGAACTACTTTCTTAACTTCAGTTTTTAACAAATCTGCCAATAGTCGTCCCAGCCACACTCCTTGACACGCTGCTGCACATGCAGTGATGTACTCTGCTTCACAGGAAGATAATGCAATAACTTTCTGTTTTTGTGAACATCAACTAATAGGACTTGACCCAAGGAAAAATTTTAAACCTGAGGTACTTTTCCTATCACTAGTATCACCAGCTAGATCGCTATCTGAGTAACCGATCAGCTCTACGCTTCCTTTCTTCTCATAAACACAACCAAGATTTAAAGTTCCTTTCACGTACCGTAATATATGCTTCACTGCGGTCATGTACTCCTTCCAGGGCCTTTCCATGTATCTACTCACCATGCCAACAGAGAATGTCAAATCCGGGCGTGTGTGCAGTAGATATCTTAAACTGCCAACAATACTTCGGCATAAAGTTGTTTCTACATGTGGACTTGTGTTTTCCTTACTTAGTTTTAGACGAGGTTCCATCGTAATTTGCGAAGGGTTGCAATCTTTCATGCCACATTTGTCTAAAATCTTTCTTGCATATGCCGACTGATTAAGTGTAATCCTTTGAGAAGTACTTCAATTCCCAAATAGTAGCTTAGTAACCCAAGGTCACTCATGCTAAACAATTTCTTCATCTGTGATTTGAACTTGTCTGTCTTGAATACACTCTCCAGTGATGATTAAATCATCCACGTAGACTCCAACAATTAAAATCCTTTTACCTTGATTTCTCATGTACACAACATGCTCTAAAGAACACCTCTCAAAATCGAGTGTCCTCAATGATTTGTCCACTTTTGAGTTTCAGGCTGTAGGTGCTTGTCGCAAACCGTACAATGCTTTGTGCAGTTTTAACACATTGTGCTCTTCTCCCTTAATTTAAAATTCTGGCGGTTGAGTGACATACATTTCCTCTTCCAAATCACCGTTGAGGAAGGCTGACTTCCCATCCATATGATGAACCTCCCATCCTTCATGTGCCGCAATAGAGCAGCAAACGTACTGTCTCTAGCCGAACAACAGGGGCGAAAATTTCATCAAAGTCTATGCCTTGTTGTTGAACGTACCCCTTTGCCACTAATCTCACCTTGTGCTTCACAATTCTGCCTTGAGTGTCCTTCTTTAGCTTGTAAACCCATTTGACCTATAGGTTTGTGGCCTTCGGGTAATGGGACGAGCTTCCAGGTTTCATTCCTTCGAATGGAAGAAATTTCCTCCTCCATTGCTTTTCTCCACATCGTGTCTTCCTTAGCTTCTTCGAGAGTTGATGGATCCTCTTCTTCTAGCAAACACAATCCCGAATACTCTAGTTCTATTGGGAATGTTTACTCGTAAATTCTTTTGATGTCACTCTTACTCCGTGGTCCTTCTAATGAACTCTCATCAGATTTTGTGGGCTGCACTACTTCTGTCGAGGCCGAACCATCAAGAGCATCAAAAGTTGTATCTGGAGTGTGTGGTGTCAATGAATCAGTATCTGAAACAGATGTTCTGGATCTCATGTTCATCACTGGTGAAGCATGTTGGTATTGGTTATCAGTTTGTTCCCATGTCGGTTGTGGGAAATCAATACCAGAATTTCTGATATCAATACCAGAACCGTTGACCGTCTCTTTATCTTCTTGATTTGTCGTATCAGATGCGCCTGCTATGGTAAAATAATGTGTTGTAAGAGTTTTCCCTGCTGATCCTGTAGCCGTTACTGGAGATTTACTCCACTCCCACTTCTTCTTCTCCTCGAATACTGCATCTCGTGTCACCACAACTCGTCTTGTCACTGGATCAAACATTCGATAGCCTTTCGTGTTCATATCATAACCAATGAACACCTTTTGCTTGCTACGATCAGCTAACTTCGGAAGATGCGGTGTAACTACTTTTACATATGCAAGACAACCGAGAATACGAAAATGATCGACACTTGGCTTGCGGTCATAATATGCTTCATAGGGTGTTTTGCCGACGACGCTCTTTGTTGGTGCTCTATTTAAGATATATACGGCAGTTGATACCGCTTCTCCCCAAAATTTGATCGGGGCTTCCATACTTTTCAACAAGCTCCTTGCCATGCCTACCACCATTTGATTTCTTCGTTCAACAACTCCGTTCTGATGAGGAGAATAAGGCGTGGCGCCGTGAGATAACGCTTAATTCCCAACAGCTCACAGTAAGTCTTGAACTCATTTGAGATAAATTTGCTGCCACGATTCGTGTGCAAAGCTTTCAGCTTACTGTTTTTCTCCATTTCGGCTGCAGTTTTGACCTTCTTAAATGCCTCAAATGCTTCATCTTTGTCTTGGATCGACACCTGCCACATAAATCTTATACAATCGTCAACCAACAATAAGAAATATCGCCTCCCTCCTTGAGTAGCAGGGGTAATTGGGCCGCACAAATCTCCATGCCACAGTTCAAGAGGTGATTCTGCTCGGAATTTTGCCACTACTGGAAAAGGATTTCAGTGTTGTTTTCCAATCAAACAACCATCACAGATGCGGTCCTCATGCTCGATTTTGGGCAAGTCGTGCACCATCTTTTTCTGACTTAGAAACTTCAAAGCATGAAAATTCACATGCCCATATCTTGCATGCCATCACCATGCTTCTTCTTTGCTCTTAGCCAGAAGACATTCGGGGGGAGCTGGTGCTATGTTAAACATATATAACTAGTTGCTTGACCTATTCACTTTTGCTAGTAGCCTTTGTGATCTGTCCAAAATAGTCATAACACCTCCTTCAACCTCAACTTTGCATCCGTTTTCATCTAACTGCCCAAGACTTATTATGTTGCTCTTCAACACCGGGATGTAGTAAACATTAGTAAGTATTCGATGTTCACCTGTGAAGCCTTCAAACAAAACCAAACCTCTAAC